ATACTATCACACCCTCTGTATCATAGAGTGTATTTAAACATGGACGACAAGTCTCCATTTCCTGCAACTATCCAAAGATGAGGCCAAAATATCCCAGATAAAAACGCTGCCCTCCTGCACAGAGCCAGAGTCTGTGCAGCACACATAGCTGCCTTGAGTTGCCTGTGTGTGTATATATAATAAATATTTAAAACGTTGCTCCGTGTCCTGTGTGCTCTGTGCTGCCTCAACCCACGGTACAGCATGTGTTACATTATATATTATATATAAAATCTCAGCATATGCTACATTCAGTATTGGGAAACTGTATATGTGTATTAGCCTAATGTCCAGTAAGTATGAATCTGTTTATATTGGTTGTATGTAGCTTTGCATAAATAGTGTGAGAACTGAGGGAAAATATGAAAAGATATGAAAGGGTACTGTCTTTTGTAGAAGTCAGTATTTTAGAGACCACACCAGCCACAGTAAGCCTATTGCATTCACTTGAGAAAAAGAAGATCTTTTTAAACGAAAATGATCTCGTTAATTCAGAAAAACAGAGTACATGTATGAGTACATGTATTTCTCTAGAGTGAATGCAATAGGCTTCAGTACCTTTGAACCCATTCTAAAAGAATTGAGACAGCTATAGCTACAGTAGATGTATTAACTCGATCTACTCCAAACTATGTTTTTCAAAAAATCCCAATCACAATCAGTTTAATATCGACATTAAATATATTTTGACACACACACACGGGGAGGTCATCTGAAGAGCAGAACATGAACAGGCAGAGTTGTGCTGTTTAGGTCACTGCTGCTTGCCGTAGCTACTTGTAAACACGGAAGTAAATCGCTCCTTCACTCCTGAGCGTCATGTGCTTTGGAAACCTCTGGCTGACAAGCTCAAAATAATTCCCTGTCAGCTTGTAGACTCTTAACTTCAACTATTTGGGTCTTACATCTTTGTTAGCGTATCTATGTTGACAGACAGACTGTGTATTATGCAAGAGGAGTGTTTTTGCTGTTGCTGAAAGCTCAGCAGATAGTGTTCGGTAGCTTAGCCCTTTAGCTTAGCTTTGGGGAATGGCAGGTCAAGTGGAGAGAACGTTTCAGTTTGTGATCGTGGGAGGAGGCATCGCAGGTGTGACGTGTGTTGAGCAGGTGAAAATAAACAAATCGGCTCTGAACTGGATAGATGTGTTGTTTCTTTACGTGTGTACCGAGTCTCCATTGTTTTAATGAACGTAATGTAGCTACATAACACAAATCCTAACCTCTATTGGCAGCTGTCATCCCAGATCCCGTCAGCTGAGGTGGCTCTGATCACAGCAGGTCCTCAGATCAAGGCAGTGACCAACTATAAACAGGTCAGCATGAGGAGGGTGATGATGAGGGGAAAGTGTTATGGGTTTGTGTTCCGCTGAGTCTCTGCCACACAGAAGAATAAGAGCTCGTTTAGCTTTTTTTTTCCATTAGGTTTTTATTGGCAGACAGATATTTTTACAAAAGACAGTTAAAAAGGTTTTACACAGTGCCTGTTTTACAATTATACTCCACAACAATATGCATATTTCACTCTTGAGGAGTAGTAGAATTTTAGGAGTTAAGTCATTTTCGGTCCATATTCATGTTCATTTGACAAATATTATCATATTAAATTGAGTGTCAGGAACTGAATCCATCATTTTCCTTTGTCATTCTTGGGAAGGTGTCGCAGACGCTGGAAGAGTTTGATGTGGAGGAGCGTCCATCCAGTGTTCTGGAGGAGAAGTTTCCCAACCTGACTGTAATCCAGTCTTCTGTCAAATCCCTTCACACACAGTCACATGTAAGTAGTTGTTTGACTTTAAAGATGTACATTAAGAAAGTTGCTTAAAATTTTAATGCTGTGTTTTACAGGGAAAAACTTTGTGACCACTTGTAAAATATAATCCTGTATCTACTGTAAATCCAAATTCGCTGTTTACTCATTAGGAATTACATCATATTTGAAAGTGGACATTGATTCCCAGCAACAGATCTCAATAAAGGCTTTTTGGTGACTGTCTGTCTACTACTGCCACCCTGTGGACATGTGACTGCATCATATGATCTGAAAACAGTGGAATACTTTGATAAGAATACAAATGTGCATTCATGCCGAAAACATACCCCCAGTTTGTGTTAAAATTGGGGGTTTCAATTAATTTCTATTTCTCATTATTTTCTTTCAGAGAGTGGAAACTGCAGATGGCCGGGAGTTTGGTTATGAGAAGCTGTGTATCTGCAGTGGGGGCAGACCTAAGCTCCTAACCCAGGAAAACCCTTATGTGTTGGGGATAAGGGACACAGACAGTGCCCAGGTATGACCACATCCCTCTGGAAGTTTCTGTTATTACTGACAAGGTGGTCCAAAGTTCATGCTGACATTGAACTAGCAGGGCCTTCACACTGTAAGAAGAAACCATTTATCCAAAGAAAAAGATCATCATCACATTATTTTTTGGTTTTGAAATGTGTTATCCACCCATCTCCATTCATTTTTATCAAACACACTGAATATGTAAGTAAATAAGGAATAAAGAAAGAAAATGAAACATCTGTTAACTAAAAGTGCATCCAGCTGCTGCAGTCACTGCAATATGTAGGTGTTTAGTGAAGGAACCGCTGTCAGGCTATATGATATCAAACATTTGTTAATGTAAAAATCACTGTGCATCACATCAACAGACAGGTTAGTTCATTATGTTGAGCTATGCACTCTCTGGCCACTTTATTCGTTACACATGTACAGTCTATTGCAATCCAACTCTATGGTTCGGCTTCTGCCTTACATATATGCAAATAGGAAGGGGAAAAAATGATAGTGTAGCCCAGTATAAAACCACCTCTTAACTATGACTGTGTCATTTGTGGAGGTGGAATTTGTTGCAGGCCTGTTGGAAGAGATTTTACACTTGTATCTAATATAGTGACCACTGAGTGTATGTTTAAATATAAAAAAGTGAAATGTTCAAAATGGCGTCACCTTGTGATGAAAATCCTGGATCCACTCAAGAATCTCTTCCTGTTACTTTTCCCATGGCCTTACTTCCCACCACTGAAATCAGTTAGTATTTTTTTTTTAGGATACTGTGGATGGACTTAAAACATAAGCTGCTCACTGGAATATTTTTGTTTAAGTTGTATTGATGCTCACCACATTTCTTCTACTTGTGTTTCAGGAGTTTCAGAAGCGGTTATCCAGTGCAAAGAGAATTGTTGTTGTTGGAAATGGTGGAATTGCCTTGGAATTAGTGTGAGTAAAGCATTGCCAAAGAGTTGAGGGATACATGAGTTTATTCTGATTTCTTTGACACACCAACCAAAGAACGTTAAGCTTATACTGTATAAAACCCCTACATGATTTTACCAGAATGATCAGAGATGACTCAGACATTCACATTCATCCATTCTGTGTTATTAAATGTGAAATGTGCAGGTATGAGGTAGAAGGCTGTGAGGTGATCTGGGCTGTGAAGGACAAGGCCATAGGAAACACATTTTTTGACGCGGGGGCTGCCCAGTTCTTCATCCCGTCACTGGAGGCTGACAAACCTGAGAGAGCTGCTCCCTGTAAGAGGCCACGCTACACCACAGAGGATCCAGCAGTCGGGACATCACACACCTTCACCGCAGGTCTACATCTGGGAGTTTGGATCATCGTGCTTTCGTTTTATTCCATTACAGACATTACGGATGTGTGTAATCTGTTTGTCTGTTCTCAGATAGAAATTCACGAGGGCATGGTGCCGGGCCAACAGAGCCTGGTAGTGCCCTCGGTCCAGACTGGCATGAAGGAATAGCTCTCAGAGGAGCAGAACAGGTGAGGTTGCACGTGCACCTCTGTTGCTTTAAACATGGAGGTCAGCTTGAGAAGTCTGTTGGTGTGGGAAAAATCCTCTGCGTTGCTGTTTTTGTTCTCCTTAGTCTCTCCTCTGTGTTGGCGTGTGCTCAGGTGTCCCGCAGAGTTTCGGTGGAATACCAGTGTGAGGTGGAAAAGATCTTCACCTCTGAGGAGCTGCTCAATTCCCAACAGCAAACACTTGGACCTGAGAATGGTGAGAACTAGATTTGCTGCTTCTTCCTTTTCTCCTTCCTTTTTTTCCTCCCACATTTTCATTCCTTCAGCTTTTCTTCCCTCTCAGCTGGAGCATGGCCAGTTTACATCCAGCTGACCAATGGCAAGACTTTTGGCTGCGATTTTGTCGTCAGCGCCACCGGGGTTGTGCCAAACACAGAGCCGTTTCTCCATGGCAACAAAGTAAGTAAACTCATCCACATGCAAATTAAATGACAGCTGCAAAGGCTCATTTATACTGACTTTACTTACGAAAAGAATAATAAAGTAAGGTAAAAAGGTAAAGATAAGTCTGTTTCAAACAAGGTAGCTGGCTTTATGTTGGTGTGGTTGTTAAGCAATACACCAACTAGACGGCAGCAGAGTTGTCCCTGTGCACAGGCAAAGTAACATCATATAGATGCCTGTAGGTTCCTTGCAACTCTTTAAGTCTCTCCCTCAAAACCTTCTACCATTGTTGAAATTTATTTCTCAAGTGTAATAGTTGTTTCACTTGAGGTACTGGCTACACTGCCCCCCCAGGATTTCAAGTGGTACTACTCTACTTTGTCTGTTTTGTCCGAATCGTAAGCTTTCAGAAGAAGTGCACACATATAGATGAAATGAACGCAGAATTCAGACAGAAGGTTTCAACCAAATATGTATCTAACGTTGAGCATAAATTAGCCGTAAGTCTGTCAGTGCTTTAATGAAATTTGGGAACATAGTCATTTTGAATTGAAGGCTAATCATCGAGTCACATGTCAGACCTGCAGGCTTTTAGATGTGCCTGTGCCATGTCAGACTTCTCCATTAGGAGGTTCACACAATGTCATGTAGAACAATCCTGTGTAAAGGAAAATGGTGTTGTTTAATGCCAGTAGCATGAAGCCTATCAAGCTTTGTTCTGTAGACATTCTCCCATATCCATCCATTATCTATATTGCATATTCTTTGAGGGTTGCGGGGGGACTGGAGCGAATCGCAGCTGACATTAGGGGTGAGGAGCAGGGTCCACCCTGGATCGAGGGCCAGCCCATCATTGGCCCTTAACATCATCATGTAGTTTGGTAGTTCTCAACAGTTTTGAGTTGCGACCCACCAGTATAATCAGTGCATGTAACCAAGCTCTAACTCAGGTGCACAAACATCTATAGCAGATTTTATCAGTGGCGCAGACAATTTTATGTAAAAATGATTCAGACTCTAGAATATGTAATTGTATTTTGAATATATTGTATTATTTTTTTCTCCACAACCATCTGACAACCCCCAGATATTATCTTGTGACCCCAGATTGAGAATTACTGATGTAGTTCCGTAAAGTTAAGTAAAGTTTTCTGCAGATATGTTTTAATGCCTCTAGGTGTCACTACAGTACATATTTACTTTCATAATACTGGTTTTCCACTGTAAAACCACCTCATAAAAAATGGCAGAACAGTAAATATGACTCTTAATTTGATCTTAATCATTATTTTTATCTTTTCAGTTTGCACTGGCAGATGATGCTGGCCTGCGAGTGGATGAACACATGATGACTTCAGAGTCACACGTCTATGCAGCAGGAGATGTTTGCACAGCATGCTGGGAACACAGCGCACTGTGGCAGCAGGTAAACTGACGGATACATTTTCTGTTTTCATTTTCATGGGTTCGGCCTTCAGATTAATTCATGTCAGCTTCCACATCTGTTCATCATCACTTCTTTTATACTAAAAAAACATCTCAATAATTCATTTCTAACAACTATAAGAGCTCCATGTTTATGAACTCATCCTGTCATCAGTAATGAAACACATGCTCTATAATAATTTTACTAAAGCTGAATTTCATTTCCTTGATATAAAAATAAATATACAACTTTAAAAATGATTCTGTCCTGTAGGAAAATTGTGCCTGATATTTTCTTTTGTTTAACTTTCTTTTTATTAGTATTTTTTGAACAAATAAACAGACTAAGTCCATTTTCCCCAGTATCTTGTATCTATCAAGTCTTCGTCTTAAGGTAAAGGTCCATTTCCATACAGTCAATCTTGTTGACAATTACGATCGAGTTGTTCTTTGATGGCAGGTTTGCCTGTTGTCACTTCCGTGTAATATCTTTCTTGCCTGCTATCAAAGAAACTTAAAGATCTTTATATTGGACCATGACACTTTTGCCCAGATATAGCCTGACAAAAGAGCAAATTATTACAAAAACTATCCTAACTTCTTAACTGTAAGTCTCTAAAAACTGCTTTTTCCCTTTATAATTTTGAGTTTTGTACACGTTGGTTGTGTTCAGATGCGTTTGTGGACCCAGGCCCGTCAGATGGGCTGGTACGCTGGCCGCTGCATGGCGGCGCACGTCCTGTCAGAACCAATCGAGCTGGACTTCTGCTTCGAGCTTTTCTCTCACATCACAAAATTCTTCAACTATAAGGTGCGTGGTATTTTACTGCAGCGGACTGAAGTTGTTTAAATGATAACCAATATGTCAATCACTATCTACTGCAAATTACAGCAGTTTTCTGTTCCTTTCGGGAGGGTTCATGGTCATTTCACACAGTGCTGCATGGTGTTGTCCTCTCTCTCACTCTGAGCTCTGCATTGAAACAACTTCCTGTCTGCTGGTCATTCCACAGGTGGTCCTGCTGGGGAAGTTTAATGGGCAGGGGCTGGGGTCTGACCATGAACTGCTGGTGCGCTGCACTAAAGGCCATGAGTATGTGAAGGTAAATAAGTAGAACCAGAAAGTGCAGTGCAAATGTCATTTGTGTTGATTGTTCCAGTGTTTAGTGTGTCAGTCTATTTTCTACTGGTGGCTCATTACACAACGTTGATCCACTCAAGAATACAAAGGATTTGCTATTCTGCACATACACTTCTTTGTGAATGGTATCAAAAGAGGCCAGCAGTTACAAAGCTGAAGACATTCTTGTATTTCCAGTGGCAGTTTGAAAATATTCCATGTGATACATTTTTGAACTTTTGTCAGCATGTGAAAAGAACCACTGTTCTTCTATGAGCAAGGACTATGCATTCTGCATGTGCTACTGGGTTTGAGCTAAACTTTTGATCAGATAATTTTGATTGTTAAAATTGGGGGAGATAGCACGTCACTTGTAGGGCCGGCGCTTACTTACTCTCCTGCTTTTCTTTGGGCCAGGTCGTCCTCAGCGGAGGCAGGATGGTAGGAGCAGTGCTGATCGGGGAAACGGATCTGGAGGAGACCTTTGAGAACCTAATCCTCAACCAGATGGATCTGACACAGTACGGAGAGGAGTTGCTCAACCCTGACATTGATATAGAGGACTACTTTGACTGAGAACAGGGGTGGAGACTTTGGAGAACACAGTGTTTCAAGCTTAAAAGTCATTCAAGGTAGAGAGATGAAGAAATCTTGCCTGAGGAATGTGTATGGGCGAGGTTCAGCATTCTATAATGTCCAAGATGGTGTGTTAGATTTGTTTCTTTTGGCAACGAAGAGAAGATATGAACTAATGTGTATGTACATTTAAGACTATATTTTTGCTTCAAATTAAATTATTTTCAAAAAATCACTTCATAGATATTAATAAGAAGCAGTAACAGATCTGAACTGAGGGTAAAAAAGCAATACAATAAGAGACTGTCAAAGTGACCCACTGTTTTGATAAGCAAACACACTCGTCTGTGCAGAACAATGGGATCTGCTTAGTGATACTTGCTTTAGAAAAAAAGGGAACATCCTTTTGTTGCCGTGTTGTCTTAGTGACTCTCGATCAAGTTTCAGTCTCAACAGCACACACAGCTCCTCCTGTGCCTCAGAAGACTTTACAACAATAGACATTGTGGAGCTCACATAATACGGTCTATTTTTCTGAGGACGTGTTGCTCTTGGGGACGCTGCTATTTGAAAATCCACCTTTTGTAAGGACAAGAAACATTAGAAGTGGAAAAGAAATATCTAATGCTAAAAGAAGTCAACCTCCCATTTCCACTTGTGTGTTCTGTTTTGTTGATTTAGGTTTTATTTGGGCTAGTGGGCTGACCCACAGGAGCATGCCTACCTGGATGCAGCCACTTTTGTCAGCCAGTAAAGGTTGTTATGGCAACATTTTGTTTTTACTCACTGAGCGTAATGCAAATTGAGTAAAATCAACAACGTGTGTGTGTGTAAAGCAACAAAATTGTGCAATAAACCACCATAGTAGAGAGGGGGGAAATTGGGACATGCTGCACTTCTTTCACCTTATTTACGACTGTGGAGAAAAAAAAAGTTTTCCTTAAGAGCTGCTGATAAGTTTCGCCTGTGCAAGATGACACCTTCCATTTCATTCAACTGGACTAGTGGACAGCAGGAAACATCTGTGTGGCTGACCGATTGCACTGGGCAGTGTGTGTGTACCTGTGTGTGTGGAGAGCAAGGGCATTGTTGACTGGGTGAGTCCAGGCTGGACAGAGCAGTGCATGCATTGAGATAAAATTCAACACCCCTGTTGAATATGGCTGCTGATGAAATGAGATACGATGCACTGGTTTAATAGAGGCAAGGGTTAGATCTGAACTTTTGGACAAACTGCTGTCTCCACCACCATCATTAAAACACCAACTAAGGGGAATATGATGTTTTGATCCCTGCAGCAGAGCTCACGTGTGCAACGAAGCTGACCTGGCTCCTAAAAACGTACTAAAAACGTAATGTTGTTTTTTAACTTTTATTTATTCAGTCACTTTGTGTTAATTGAGGGACTACGCATTGTGTCTTTGCCTGAGGAGAGGGAGTGTGTCCTCACCTGAATGACTGGAATTCTTTTGTCACAGGTTTGGATATAGGGAGAAACAAATAGGTCATAGCGATGAGCCTTCAAAATAAATGTCTAGCTTTACTTTATGGTGAGTACAGGCTTTTTCTATGTTTCTGTGGCCTCTAAAAAAAATCAAGACAAGGGACTGCTGACAGAAATGGAGTAAGGGATAAAAGAGAGGGCAGATCTTAACCATTAATAGAGAAGGCTAAATCAGTAACCTTCTTGGTTTCTGTTTATAACTAACTTATTACCTCTGTGTGTGTCTGAGAGCAGAGAACTGGATTAACTATAGAGACAGAGTGGATTTACTCTCTGACATTTACGTCTCAGTCGTGACACAAAGCTCATTTCATTCAAGAAAGGTTGCGGACGTGACGTCAGCAGCATAGTGGGCTGCGGCAAGTGTGTGCTTGTTTGTAGTCACCAGGGCACCCCGACGTTTAAATGACGTCCACTACCTGGAATTTCATATCTTAGGAATTTAAGTGTTTGTAGTTAGTGTTGTGCATTTGATTATTGTTATTTTATGCGTAGAGTTATTCTTTTCTGTTATTTCATTGTATAATATTTATTTTATTCAATCGTATTTAACTTTGCAGGACAAGAACAGTGAATACAGGACAGTTAACAGAATGGAATGACAAAACCGTGTGTGTGTGTGTTGTTTTCAGCATAAAAATAATACAAATGGATGGATGGATACTTTATTGTTTCTGAAGGAAATGTATGCATCCAGTAACTGGATGGAGGCTGTGCAAATAGTCAAATCATGTCATTTAGTATGTTAAACACTAAAGCTTAAACGAGGAAAAACTTTAACTAAAACCAAACATATTATGCACAGGGAATAATAATAGTAATAATCATAATCATAATAATCATTATTAGTTATTTTCCCAACAACCATCTCTTGATGAAAACGAACATAAAGCCATTTTAAATGGAACTGCCGGCGGCGTGCGACGATGGAATAAACACGTGCTCTCAGTTTGCATCGACGACCAGCATGCATCGGGGCTGCCCTGGTGTTCCAGGTGGGTGTGGCTTGTAGAGAGGCGTTGTCGCACACGAGCAGCAGTAGCGAACACTCACGCACTCCGAACACTGCGCACATCTCGTCCGCTGCGTGCACCGAGACCACCGCAAACACCGCCCGACTTTCACTCCGCTCCCGAGCACTCCAGAGAAACCGCCATGGCCAACTACATTCACGTACCGGACGAGGCTCCAGCGGTGCCAAAAATAGACGTGACAGTCGACGAGGGCGACTACAGACCCGGAGCACTGACACTCCTCAAGGAGCTGAGACCCAGCTGGAAGCCGTCGGAGGTTAAAATGAAGGTGCAGTTAATGTCTCTATTTATTTCATTGAACGTGTTTTGCTGCCAGTTTTCCCGGTGCGACACGCCTCCATGTTGCCTCTAGCTTGAACAATCACCCCTGCGTAGCTACAAGTTAAGCTAGCTGGTGCTACCATATTAAAGTTAGCTTATTCTTATGGAAATTAACTCCAGGGGCTAATGTCGCGGAAAGCTAGCAGCCGTATCGAATGCGCAGATGCTATCTCCAAACAGGTGTTAGCTAACTATGTCCCATAAGGTACAACGGTGTTTTTTTTTTTTTTCTCTCTCTTCGTGAATTGCATCTGCGTCAGCTCAGGATCAGGGGTGGGAGTCTGTCTACGCTTCTGGCGCAGCTTCCTCTGCGTGACCGCTATACTTAACCTAAACCTTATGTAATGTCGGTGTTCGAGGGGTAATGACTGATCCTTGCTGCGACTTATGTGGAGGTGGTTACACAGATATATAAAGACAGAGGAGCGGGAGGGGGGGGGGGGTCCGTCAGTTAATATCATCATAATGCTGCACCCCCCCTAAGTCTTAGCGAGTTGGATGAAAACTTGTGGACCCTCCCAAACTTGCTAACAAACAAACTATATGTCAACATATTTGTATCGTAAAACATGCCTGCAACTATTTACTTTTGGGAAGAAAAGTCAAACATGACAGTGAAGTAAACTGAGAAGGGAACAAAGGGAACAGTATTTCCAATCCCTGTGTCATGTAATGTCACATGAGTTAAAACACACCTCTTCAGAACGGCTTTTAACGTGTGTCTGTCATTTGAATGTCTGATCATGGTGTGGATTTTACATTTCGATAGGAATGTGTGAATTCTAGAGATTTCTGATGATTTTATATTTTTGTATGTGTGTTTATGACAGATCTTTTGTATTGTTAGTTATTAGTTTATGTTTGCTTCCTCTGGTATTTACCCATGTAAATTGTTTTTGTTTGAAGCGCAGTAATATTTATTGTATTGCATTAAATGACCCCAAATTTGACACTGCACTAACTTAATAATAGACATGTGTGAAGCCAATAAGATGAGAGGTTCTCTAGATATGTGTTCTAAAGACAGACAGAGATTCCTTGGATTTGTAGATTGTCATTATTATTACTACCCAGAAAAGTAAAGTAAGTCACGCTCTCTGACATCTTGGTCAGATCTCCTGAAACTTCAGTACTCTCAGATGCCAAAACGGACTGGGGTGTGTGGCTCTGCTTGGTAAACATACTGAGGACGATCACATGCTCCACGATCCTTGCCTATGCTCATCAATGAGAGCAGAGTGGGAACTCAGCAAAATGCCAGTCATTGCTTCATCACGCAAAAAAATAAAATTCCTCACGATCCTGTCATACTCAGCCAATCCCTCATAGGGTGAACAATAAGAGCTGGTATGTTGGGTCCTCACTCAATACAAAAATGTCCCAGGCTTCACAACAGAGACAGACACGCCAACGTTTTTACGGCAACATGAAGTCCTTCTCTTTTTTCTGTTGTTTGCCAGACCCTGACTCCTCTTGGAGCTTATGTAATACTCAAAAGAATGTGGGTTTTCAGACACGTGTAGCATAATGCATATGATGGTCCCATTATCGTCAAACCATAGGCCTTAAGCGACATTGTTGAAACACAAGACAAATTATGATTTATTTTGTTGCACCCCCAAAATTAACCCGTTTCCACTCTTTCTTCTATTTGTATACACAGTTTTTTACAGATGGAATAACCAATAAGCTGCTGGGCTGCTATGTGGGTACGGTCATGCTGGATGTGGTGCTCGTCCGTATTTATGGCAACAAAACAGAACTGCTGGTGGACCGGGAGAATGAGATTAAAAGCTTCAGAGTACTACACGCAAATCGCTGTGCCCCGCGCCTCTACTGTACCTTCAACAATGGCTTGTGTTATGAATTTCTCCAAGGAACTGCCCTGGAGCCTGAACACATTCGCAGCCAATCTGTTTTCAGGTAAAACACCTTGTTATGAAGCCAAGAGTCTTGAGGGAATTTATCAGGAAGTCATATGACTTGATTGATAGGTTTGTCACCAGTCATTGTTTATCACCTCAAGGCTAGTCATGTATTCAAACACATTTATACTCACGACACTGAGTTTTTACTGCATTTATTTTGCATTCTGCATTCTGCATTCTCCTCCCCCACCATCCTTTCTATTTCTGCTTTACCTTTCTTCCCTTACTCCACAAAAGTGTGACCTAAATAACAGTGTTTGTTTCTGTAACCTGAGTCTTGTTCAGTTTTGACTTCTTGACAAGATTATACCTTTTAGTTTATGAAGACTGAATCCTGGACTCATATTCCACCTTAACACTTCATGCTCTAACTCAAATGTTCCCATTTTATGTCTTGCTCTACTTACAGGCTCATTGCGAGGCAGCTGGCCAAGTACCATGCCATTCATGCCCACAATGGCTGGTTGCCCCAGTCCGACATGTGGCTAAAGATGGGCAAGTACTTTGCTCTCATCCCCAAGTACTTCAAGGACCCCGAGCGGAACGCCAGGTGAGACCCTGTAGTGTCATGGTTATTGAAAACTGCCAGACCAACAAATAGAATTATATATAAACTTTAATTGGATAAAAAAAGAATAAAGATATGAGATAAAAGAACAACAACTAATTAAACAAATACAGCAAAGTAACACAAAAAACAGAAACAGTTGTTCAAAAGATTGAGATTATAGATTTCAAAGGATGAAGAGTTACCAAGGAATTACAATTAATTAAAATACCATAGTAGTGAATTCTAAGTAGATGGAAAGAAGAAGCCAAAAGCAAATCTACTATATGAAGGCAGCTTTCCTATAAGGGCCTCTTAAATAAACAAATATGTATGCAAATTATGCTTCTCAGAGAGAAAGATGAGTTCCAGTATGTCTTCGAGTCTAATCTAGTTTCTCCCAAAACCAAAGTGTTGTGATTTGAAATATGAATTGGGACAGTATGAAATTAATAAGAATAATATTGTCATTGACATGGATTGCAAACAATAAAATAAGCACTACAATAAATGGATCTGATGGACCTAATAATCATAATAATTTCGTTTTCAACACATTACAATATTTTACTCCTAATTTGGTTACAAAATTAGTTATAATTGTATTGGAACATGTGATTCTGTCTCTTGTTTCTGTTCTCAGTTACCTCCATACAGAACTATGACCCCCAACCTCAGTCTCATAAATTATCTAAACATCGACATTATCAGTGTTCGAAATGCCTCACATGACTGAGGAAGTGCGTGGAATCCCTTTCATTATCTCACCAGGTTTGAAAAACTGTTTACTACTGTAACTATTGCATTCCAAAGAGATAATGTAAGAGTGCATGATGGTTTCTCTTTAAACTGTGAAAACTAAAATAGCAGCTCCATAAAAATGTGAGATTGTTACTTCATACTTGCCACTAGGGGAAGGAGTTAGTTAGTTAGTTAGTGAGCACCATAACTCCAGATTTCTTAAACTTGATTCTTGTATCACTCTTATTTTAGCCTAAATAATAATAACATTATTAAATGTCCATCACATTTCATCCAAAAATCTGAGTATCATTTGGTATTTCTCTCTGTCCTCTGTTTGCTCTCATTTCTCCCTGAAAAAATACATTAATGGGGAAAATACTTTAAAGCTAATAGTAGAAGGAACTGGAATTATTTTAAAAGGTCCAATAGAGACATGAGGAAATGTACACTCTAAAACACAAGCGTAAATGCTTGGCCTGAATCTGCTGTGGCCTGAATCTTAACCAAAACAAAGAAAAGGATCATATTACCCCACTGCTTAAGACACTGCTCTGAATACTTGCACCTTTCAGAAGGGATTTGAAAGGTTTTCTTTGACTTGTCTATTAAGCTTAAAATGACCTTGCCATATCAGATATTTTCCTACATGTTCTGTTTTAACCAGATCACCAAGATCCACTGTTATTTTCTTTTCAATGTTCAATACTGCTTTATTTTTCAATATTTGTTATCATTATACTGGCGAGTCATGTCATGAACTGTGGAACAGTTGAATAGTAAGCTCTTTTGGTATTTTCAAAAGTAAATAAAAAACCTGTTTCTTTATGGCTTTTAACCATTAATATTCATGTAATGGTAATTTGTTCTCGTTCACATTTGGTTTAAAGTATTAGTCAGTAGTTTTTATATCATTTTTTATTGCAGTTTTATGTTGTGCATGTTTCATATTACTCATAATTCTTTTGTTTTATTTTATGAAATTCAAATCTTGAAATTTAGATATGTAGGTTACATAATGTCAGATTGTGTCAGTGGTGACGTGAAAGAACACAGGTACACAAATAACAAACCTGTTCTGTATGGCAGCCAATGAGAGTAACAATTATCTTATTCACACGCTCGGGGCACTTTGGCACCATTGAGTCTTGATTGACTGACATTTGCATTGCCAATAACAACTACCTTTATGTATTCAGTGCCAAAATGAATCCAAAACAAACATGGACTTTTTCAAGCTGTTTTTATTTCCATGGATGACATTCAAATATTAACATAATGACAGAAATGCTGATAAAGACCTGTGAGACAGTGACACCTGCAGTATATCTCAGGGTTCTTCTATACTGAAGTCAAAAATAAATATGTGAAGAACAAATGAGGACTAAACCTTATAATTACATATGGTGTTTCCTTTTCTTCTTATTTTACTTCTTTACTTCAGTTTCTATCTCTGCCCTCTCTTCTACTTTTAAGTACCCATACTGACTACCTCCATATATCTTACCATTATTACTCCTACTAATTTTCAATCTCCTCACCCTCTGTAACTCTCTGCCCCCTGCAGGTTGCGCATGGAGGTGCCCAGCCCCCGGTGCCTCCGAGAAGAGCTGGTGTGGCTCCAGCAGAGCTTGTCGGTGTTGGGCTCCCCCGTAGTTCTCTGCCACAACGACCTGCTCTGCAAAAATATAATCTACAACCAGGACGAAGGTGAGTATCCCGTGTGCCTGTATTGTGTTGTAGTGTGATCTGCATTTGGTCCCTACGCTCAGGTAGGATTGCATTATGTGCACTTCCTCAACCCTAGTGACATGCTTCTCTCATTGTCAGTGTTTGCATCGGGCTGCAGGCATAGAATTAGAACGGTCAGACAGTCCAGTTTTTGGATGTTCTTCTAATGCTCCAGATGGAATCCTTATTTAAAATAAGGCAAACACAACACACATTAACCACCAATAAACTTTGCCACAGTCATATTTGTGAACACAAAGATTTATTAAAACACTGCATCTGTCACAGATTTCAGTTTATTACACATTGTTAGATCCTTGCTATTGTGTTGTTTACAAATGGGTGCTCAGTTAAGTCTCTTCTAATTTGGATTTCATTATTTTCAAAGAATGTTTTCTGATCTGTCGTTCTAATTCTGTGCTGAAAACCGAAAGAAGGAAAACCAACAACAGACAATGCCATTGCATCATACCAAGTCTCAGTTTTATTGATAGCACATGTGTTTGGTGCTTTAGCACCATGTCCTCAGCCAAACTTGTTAGCTTACTTTTGCACTGAGTGACTTTAATTGTAGCGGTCATTGAGTGAAAACTATAGCGGAGGAATGGTGGGGTGAAATGGGTGAGAAAGAAAAAGCAAAGGGGTGGAAGTATAGGGTATATTTTATGAATGTGGGAGGTGGGGTGGGGGTGTTTATGGGAGGGTTTAAGAGCTGTCAGCCCCCTCGTCGGTTTGCGGCGAGGGGCGGGGCCCTTCTCACAGCTCCTTGTGTCTAGCCTTTCTCCCCTAGGAATGACAGCTGAGGCTGTGGCTGCCCTGCGCCGCCCTGCCCCTGGGGAGGCAATGGAGGGAGACAAACCTCACGCACAGTCGGCTCTGAGGGCCCTCACGTAGTCTGCCCACTGCTCAGGCTAATCGGGATGAGTTCATGGCATCAGTAGGAGCCAAGTATCTACTTATCACCCTACAATGCTACTCGGCCACCAGTTCCCTCTGACTTCTTGTTGCTAGGATCCTCACAATACTGTTTACGACTGTTTCTTTTTATGATTTCCACTTGCTTTGAGTCACTCTGAGCAGCAGCTAAATGCCTTAAATACAAAGCTACTTTCCGTCACTTCTCCTTACGCCGCAATTTTTCATTTCAAAGCACCAATATTGATCACTGGGCAGACAATATGAGTGAAAGGATATGTCTGATGATATTCTGTAGGATTTTAATTTTCCAGCAATCCAAACCAAATCCAAAACCAACAATGAATTTATTCATCTAACAAATTTTGCTTTATGCAGCTATTTTTCTGTACCAAACAGAGCTCTGTGAAACTAATAAAATGCACCAGTCAGCCACAATTTCACAGGGTGAGATGTGACTATTACATTACGATGAACACAGTGTAGCTTATTTTGACATATCCTGCTGCTATGAATACTTATTATTTCACCAACAGTCTCTTTTCACTCCTGTTTAAGTAACCATTACATGAAATATCCCCTTTTTCAATTAAAAGAATACATTGAGGATGTCTTGTGATTAAAACGCAGAAACACCCAATGACACCAAGGTAATCAGCTGATAATTTGTGCCTCAAATCTGCACATCTTGATCGCTAACATCTGCTATTGATCCCTGGAGATTGGCATATTATCATCAAACTAGTGCAGACGACCCTTAAACATACCAGGGATATTCACCAACCTGTTCTAAATTTTAAAATAAAATAGGATCCTTTAAGAATGAACAGCACAATTTGTGAAAATACAAGACAAACTTACATGTTGGTTTAAGTCAGTTAATGGGATTTGTTGACATTAAGATTAATATAGAAGATCATCAGCCTTATTCTTTTCAAAGCTGAAACATGCTTCTGCCAAAATGCAGGGAAGGCTTTTTGCCTAAGCAAACAGACAAGGAGTAGCTTGGGTAATGGGAATAAAGGGAATCTTACTTGAATCTATAGTATAGAAAACATTAATATATATATGTATATATAGTGTCAGTAAAAGAGGGCCAACGTCCACTGTGAGGCTTGCATGAATTCTTTTACAGCATTTTCCAGACGACTCACGTTACGTAAACGTTGAATTAATGTATAGTGCAGATCCCATGTACGGGCATGTAAATCTGTGCAGGACTTTCACATGTTTGCAGACTTGCAGAATCATGTTTCATGCTTCAATAAACAAGACAGTGGTTATCAGTACATCTGTTGTATTATTAAGAGCAAGGATAGAAAGGGACTTTCCAATAGTCCAGTGCATCAACTGTAATCACACACACTCTGTTCTAACACAATGCTTTCAACTGACAACCACAGTGGAAGGGACACCACAGAAGACTCTGGGCACTTCAGCTTTAAGTCGTAATTACTACATTTCTGACTGTGCCCACTCAAGCTGTCTCAACCATCGTCATAGTTATCCTTGTAGTACCCAGCACTTACAATCTTTTGTTGAAAACAGAGCAGGCAGGAAAAGAAAGTAAAAATCTATAACGCTGCTTCCTGTTACTTTGGCTCAGCTTTGGCTGCTGAGTTGAAACCGCTACCCTGCCAAGAGAAACCACTACTTCCTGTATTGATAAAACTGTCAACAGAGATGGTTAAAGCTCAGTTATTATTCTAGCTGTTTTCTTATTTTCTTACCCAAAAAACTCACTGCCAACAAAGTGCTACATTGCTTTTCTACTGTCTAAACTTGCAGCCGCTATCACAGACTAAGTTTGCCCTTCCCCTCTCACGTTACTCAGCTGTTTGCAAAGAAAAGGAAAAAAAATCTGTACTCATTTTACTTGGTCCCAAGAGCAACAAAATCTGCAGGTCAGCAGCCAGGAAGCCCCTCAAAATTTCTTTCATTTGCAGAAGTAGTGGAGTTGTCACGCTATTGGGTTCACAGCAGACCAATGGGAAGGGAGCATTGGAGGGGAGTGTTGCGCGAAGGGGATGTGGGGGGTGGGGGGAGGCATTGGAGATTGGCTGCAGGGCCTGATGTTTCGACATTGTGTGTGGGAGCAAGAATGGATAAAAGACAAATGTGTCAGTGAGAGAGTAAGCATGTGTGAAAGATGTGTTTGCCCCAACCTTTTCATCTGCTGCACAGGGGGGCTATAGCCACTGCCCGGAGGTGTTCAGTTGTGTCCCGCTAGGACCTACACGCCGGCTGGTAACCCACCTCAAAGTGTCTTTCTTGTAGTCCAGCAACACCTCAAAAAATAATGTTTCATATGTTAGGGAAAAGGAATTAGCTAAGGCCAAAATAAAAACATAATTTAATTTATTGTTCTTCAAAATCCCTTGTTTGTATTAATACCACTGTAAGAATCCGGCTTGTAAAAGTAAGGGTTTGTATTTTGAGGTCAACCTCTTCAACCACTTTTTTCTGTGCTTCCCACAGGTACCTCTCGTTTTTATTTACCCCATTTACACCTGGCATTAAAATGCATTTTTGGTATTAACATTGCTAGTGCAGGTTTAAATGTAAATACCCAAGATGCACTGAGAACGAATTGTAATCCAGTTTATCAAACCAGCAAGCAAACAAAAACACATGCATAATCCATGGTTATATTATAAGACAACGTTGAGCATCATAAATGGCTACCATCTTTTACTCTTCCTCTATCTTTAGTTGTTTTTTGGACCTGTGCAAATGAGAGGAGGGTGTGATGTAAGCTGGACTGATCTTAACAGGATCAGGACACTGCAGCTGCTAATGAATACATATTAATATGTATAATTACAATTATTAATATGTATAATGTATATTACTCCTCTAGATACAATCTGGATAAGCCCTATATGAGACAAATTGTGATTTGTGAATATGGGCTGTACAAATAAAATTTGATTGGTTGATTGATATCAAACACATTTCAATGCCCGGTGTCAATTAAGTCATAGACCTACAAATGGAGTCAGACAGCAACACATTCTTCGATCTTTCTTCGCTGTACTGTAAAATCGGATTTAAAGTTCCAAGTAGATGAGCGGCTTTAATCTTCACTCATATTTCGGGGGCACTTAGAGACTCCCATGGTTGCTTAGAATGTATTTTACCAACTGTAGCCAAGAGCTCAATCTCCAGTTAGCATCAGGCACATTGTTAGGTGTAAGCCAATAAAGAGTGTGTTGCTGTACACCTGTTTTGACAGTTTACTTTATTAAAATCCACATTGTATTTCACTATCTTTTGTCCTTTGTCCCTCCTGCTTTTTTCTCATTTTACCTTTCCCCCCCCCATACCTCTCTAAAACCAAACTTTAACTGAACGTTTTTTCCATTTATTCTTTGCATGTATCCAAAACATTCTTTGAAAAAACATCTGCACTCCTTTTTACCCATCGACGTTTGTATGTGCTCCATGTCTTACATCAGGCTTTGCACATTTTCATCTTTGCTAATATATCCCAGCTGCCTATTTTGTGGGTGCTTGGAAAAAAGGCTGATAACTCAGTTACTCACAAATCCACTCTGATAAGATACCATTGGAGGCTGACTGCTCAAACCCCATGAAGATGTGCAATCTGGATTTCTTTTCTTGTAGTCCTTAAATATATCTAATTTAAAAAAGACAACATAAAAGGCATAGTATTTCTCATTTAATTAACAGCTTTCATTCTAAACATATGTTGAATCTGTCTTCTCAACAGCATGCTTATTATAGAAGGCTTGCCAGCAGTTTTCAGAAGCATACCTCTCCATTCTAAATCTGTTTCTCTGTAATTCCCCATATCTCATTTTTTTCTGTGCTAAAGTCTGTCTCTATAGTCTACTTCCCTCAAAATGCAAACTCTTACTCCTCGCCCCGAAATCGGCTGCCTCGCGAGCCAGTCCAGTCAGACAGGAAGAAAGTTAGAAATGAAAAGCCTTGATATTCTCAGTTATCAAAAAGGGAAAACACAACATAATCATTTTGTCTGCTGCCCCTGTCTCTGTCTAAACAACGGCGCTTCTCTTTCCAGGCAATGTAAAGTTCATTGACTACGAATATGCTGGGTACAATTACCAAGCCTACGACATTGGGAACCATTTCAATGAGTTTGCTGGTAAGTCTACTTCCTGGTACACATAAATTAAAAAAGATGTGTGCAATGTCCACAGAAATATGAGTCTTTTAACTTGCCTGTGTGTTTTATTGGTTCCAGGTCTGAATGAGGTGGATTATAGTCACTACCCAGAGCGGGCCTTTCAGCTGCGGTGGCTCCGCGCCTACTTGGAGGCCTATAAGGACCACAAAGGCCAGGGTATCGACGTAACTGACAGAGAGGTGGAGATCCTTTACGTCCAAGTCAACCGATTTGCCCTGGTGAGCATTAGGACATGTGTATTTTTAAACCACAGTTGATTAGGTATATCTATGCGAGGATCATTTTTTAATTTTCAGACTTATGGGTTGCATGATAATGTTTGTGGAGATTCTTAGTCATGTTATATCCAAGTGCTAAAAACAGGCATGATTACAACCAATGATATTGTCAAGGTTACTTCTTTTAAACGTTCTATTTCCCTACGTGATGTGCTTTGACTATAGTGAAGGCTGATAAATAGTAAATAATCAGTTAAAGTTAGTTAACAATTAATATATGTCGACATATACAGCGAGGTCAAGTATTGCGCTAAGCTGTCCATTCTGTTCCATTCTATAACTGCTGCACCGTGAAAATCGAACACTCACAAGTGTACGAGCCCCTGGGCTTGTTATGAGTAGATTTTTCCATCCCTGCTGCCACAGGTGTTGGGCCAGCAAATACCAATTACAATGTGATGTGGGTAAACAGAGCACAGAGTGACTTTTGCCATAACCTGCACTACCTGATCTGAAATGGATATTTGTGATGCGCTCGCTGAAGCCCCCTGTAAAAGGGAGTCGCTCTTTATGACAACATTGAAGGCAGGGCACTCTCCCCTGGGCGGCATTCTGCCTTGTTTACTGTCAAGAAGAAAAGAGGGCGGTGTGCTATTTGTTCTTGTTGCTGTTGGGCTGCTGGCAGCTTAGTACATGCTTGAGCGAGCTGTGTTGGACAATTAGAAATGACATTTACATTTAGTTGGTGAGTACCTGCTAATCCTCCCTGTTGCTTTCTCTCATGTGTCAAGGCATCTCATTTCATCTGGGGTCTATGGGCTCTGATTCAGGCCAAGTTCTCAACCATCGACTTCGACTTCTTGGGGTATGTAGCCAACAAGCACACTTTATCATGAGCTATTTTAGTCTGCTCTGCAGCCTTTAGCAGTTTAATCATATGTTTAAGAACAAAATGTTAAGCATGCAGATTAATATGTGTCAACAGTACACAGTGTGCCTGAGCAGTCTTAATACTTTTTTAGCATCTTGCAAACTTGTCACATGCATTTGTATCTTATCTTTGCTTTTATCTGTGTCTCTACTCTCAGATATGCCATCCTGCGATTCAACCAGTACTTCAAGATGAAACCAGAGGCTCTTGGGTTGACCTTACCTGAATAAAAGCCCCAACCCCCTCATGTTCCCATCTTCCCCGCCCTTCCTCCCTTCCAAACTGCTCTGCGCCTCACATACGACAGCTGAGCGCCCTCTAGGGGTCTGTTTGGGGAAGAGCCAGACTGACAGTCTGTCCCGTTCAGTGCCTGTAGGTGCCCTCCTGGGCCCTTAACCCCTAGAGATTGAAAGAATCGCAGTCATCATATGCAGTCACACCATTGTTTAACAAATGAATATGATGGGTGCCTTGACACCTGCTGCCATGTGAAGTTCACTTTATTGTGGTCATTTCAGTTCTAATATCATTATGATATTAACATGATATCAGCATATGTGTTAACAGCTTTTTTCACAACTCAAATCACTATAAACAGTAAGACAGTAATGCCTCATTTATAAACCATAACATAGCAACAACCCAACATGATCGCCGGGAGAGACCCCTTTCTCATATGCACATTCATGGGGAAACCCCTCGATAGCCTGCCCTGCAAATGATCAAATTATTATGACATCAACACAAAGCCTGCTTTGTTTGCCAAGAAAACAGGATGAAAAAAAAGAAAGAAATGTCAAGATGGAAAAGGCCAGTGCTTTCCTTTAAATCCCATGTGATACGAGCCACGCCACAAGAAAAAAAAAAAAAAAGTTGTGGCCTGCCTTGTGACTCTTGTTTTCACCCTTATTTTCCCCCAGCAAACTGTGCATGGGTGGTGCACCAGAATAGCCATGTCATTGTTGTTGCTGTACAGTGTGCTAAGGGTTTGTGTTTTAGCTTTCTAGGCTGAAGGTAGAAACATCAAGTTGTAGGAGAGCATCTTGTGTTTACATCCTAACCTCTCCCTCCAGCTTAAATGGCTGAATCACTGAGCAGCCGTTTTACTTGAGAGAGACTTTCACTGTAATTTAAGTTTCAGGTTTGTTTTGACACTCGTTTAGTCTTGTCTTAACTGGAGACAAGAAGGCAACTCACTGTAATTTGAACATTCCATGTTCATAACGCTAGACGAGGAATGTGGTTGTAGGTCACATGATAAGTTAGCAGTGTCACTGTGACCTCGACTGTAAACCATGCTGGACTAGAAAGAGACCAACCATTATATTGTCCGCTCCATGTCAGGGAAAGTCGGGGAATCACCTTAAATATTACACTGCTGTTCATTGAACTTGGGCCTGACCATTTTATATATCTCTAGACCTGTTTTCATTCACAAGTGAATGTTATTATGGCCCTGCTTTTATGCCGGCACTCACCATTCAGTACCATCCAATGTCAAAATGAAAGTCTGTTGGCATTTGGAAATGGGCTAAAACTTTGAAGTTGTCGTATATAGGTTAAAATGATGTGTGTTGCATTACAATATATTGAATGGAAGTCAGCTGTTAGTGGGACCCGAGGAGCAATAGCGACATCTGTTGGAGTGTAAAAAAAACAAGCTGCTGTCAGTCATTCTTGATATTGATATTAGGTTTATAAAAAAGCTTTAGGAGTCCCTCACAAGCCTACACCAAAGTGCTGACATGTTTTTTTTGCTTTGTACATAATGCACACTGTATCGTTTTCCATATAGCACAAAGAGGATTAGAGAGACGATTATATAGACTTGTTATAAATGACTGTTTTTATACTTATTTAAATGGAAATGCTAGGGTTGACGTCTTTGAGAGTGTGTGGATGTTTGCTGGTGCAGTTACACGTGGCATCTGGGCAAATACAGTGTTTTTAGTAAAGAGTTTAAAAATGTTTAGTGTCAAAAGGGCAACATTATGTAAGAGTTTAAAAATGTTGAATGTCAAAAGGGCAACATTATGTAAAATGTGAAAAACTAATTTGCTCAGGTGCCCGCTGCTGTAACAAGTTTGCAAAGCTCTGTGACGAGACTGACTGACAAGGCCTGGTTGTTCAATTATATATACACTTGCGGACAGTACTAGATAAGGAGACGTTGTCCCGTTAGTCTGCCTGTGCGCCTGTGAACACTCTCTACTTTGTACATTTTACAGTTTTGAAGTTTGAAGGCTAGTCCTGTCCTTTTCTGTCTTTTAATTTAGTGTGGTGTGTCTTTAAAACTAGTGAATCAAGATGGGCCTAATATGAATATGAAATGTGTGAATGTTGGCTTTTAATGTGAAAACCTTGGATAAAAGCGCACTTGATGGTAAGGGATTTTGATAACTGAAGTTTTGGTGGAGGAACGTGGGATGGTTCGGTGAAAGAGTGTTTTCCATTTGGTGTCGGTTTAGGACACTGTCACGCCACGTTTACACATAACCCACACTTATAGATGCAGTTTCAACTGCCACATAATCTGAATATTCAAAATGATACTGCTGAAATATGTTCCCATCCATCTGAAACAAATGCATTTTCACTGTATATCAAAGGTCATCTCAGCACTACATACACATTTGTGTTTGTATTTAACATTGTAAAAAAAACTGTGGCCACTGTAGCATATGTTTATATGTACAGTAAACAAATGTAATAATATCTTTGCTTGTTCTCAAATGAGAATTAATGTACATAGGAGTTCTTTTATTTTATTTTTTTCTAAAAGTTACATTAAAGTGAATAGTTGCCTGGGGTAAGAGTTGAATTAAAAATGAAATTTCCAATACTGTTAACATGCTTTCAAAAAAATAAAGTCTATTTACCCTTTATTTGTTCCCTGTTTCATCGTGTGATTTAACAGGAATATTAGGAAAGGACACATTTCTTTTACACTAAACATTACCCACAAATCAAATGTATGATTACTTACCAAAGTATTACTTGGATTTTAAATTTACAAAATGTCACATAATAAACTGAATACACCTGGTGCTCAGTTTTAAATTTACCTGAGGTAAACTGCGCCCCCTGCTGGACTGATGGCCCAGAAACCAGCTGGTTGTGGGGTGTCCTCTAATTGCAGAGTTCGAACCAGAGACTGACAGGTGGCGCCTCAAGACACTTAATGAGCTCACAGCTAACTGTGACGCCATGCTCAGTTTATATGAAACAACCTGATGCTTTAACACGTTTTCATCAGCTAAGCTAGCATGTTAGCTTAGAAATGGAGGGGAGGACGAGGTCTGTCGTCAAACAAAGAAGCCACCACAGAAGGGAAACTTGCGTTGGGACATTAGAAGAAAAGAAAAACGTCAGGAGAAGGTGAGTCACATCCCCGTGCTCGACTGTCTCTTTGCTAGCTGCTGTTGAACTGTTCCTCCATGTTGTTTTTACATATTTGATGACGCAGGGCTGTGAATGAACCTTTCCCCCCACTTGTTGTGCCTGTCTGCTATTTATTCATGAGAGGAGCCTTATCATTCCTTTTTGTTTATAAGTATTTATACTTATATCTTGTATATAATCCCAGACAAACAGAAAACTAACATTTAAAGCTACTTCTGCATGCTAATGTATACTGTAGCTAATTCTGCTAAATAATACTTAAAAACACATGAAACGTGTTTATAGGATATGAACGTGGTATTTTTGTCAACATGTCTGTTGACTTGAAGGGATTTGACCACCTGAATTTGTTTTATGACACCACAATAGGGCAGTCAAATGAAAGAACTATCCTTCTTCGCTGCTAAAATAAACTGTGGTTGAAAGTGGCTGAAAGTAGCAATGCACGAAAGTGTTTGAGACAGGGTTAGGACGGCTGTTGTGCCAGAACAGCCTCTTAAGGTTGTATTGCCCAGTTTATATATTCATTTACAGTTGCTTTTATCTGGATCAAATAGTCATAACAATTAACTTCATGTCCCTAATAATGGTAAATGTATGTTTTAACATAACTTGTTAAAAATGTATATGTGTTTGGAAGCCTGGGTCTAATTTCATATTTTGCATTTGGAACTAATGATTTATGAATGGGCTATATAGAAAAATAACACAATTGTACATTTGCAATCATCCCTGTTATTTTACCTCCTATCTGAAATTCCAACTAACTCAGTTCTTTTTAGTTAAAATATATTTATACTTATATTTATACCACTGAATAACAATCACTGTCTGCTGGCTGATCGCTTTTTTGCATAACACTTGCAACAGAACAACAAGTTCAAATATTTAATTGCACCAATATGTTGCTATGAAGGTTTGTTAACACTAGATAATTAACATATCCTGACATCTGTAGCCTTTTCATTAGAAGCAGCTGGTCTGTGACAGTTTTAAGTTTTCAAGCTATAACATCTTTACTTCACTTTGCTGAGAGTTGTTAGCGGACGTGCCCACTAGATGGCAGCACAACATACAGAAAGTAATTAGTATGTGTGCAGCAACCCCCAAACCTGGCAGGAGGCTCACCGCAGGGTACAAAAATAATCCTATTCCACATTTATTGTTTGCGATATTAATGCTTATTAACATAGATTTCTATATTTAAACTAAAGGCAGCTCATTAATATGCCTCGTATTGAACCCCTCCATTCAAACCAAATAAAACAAATTCCTGAAGAAAATATTGCATTCAAATTAAGGCTGTGCAACATTTTGCTCTGGGACAGTTTTTCTTTGTGGAGGACCACATTTGGTTGTAGATTCTGCATGCAAATGTAATAACTACTACAAAATGGGATTGTGTGATGTGTTAGTTTGCCTCTGTGCTGCAAAAGCGTTGTTAGTAGAGAAGGGCTGCAAAGACAAGCTTTAGTAGTGCACATGTTTACAGTTCGCCATCCCAAGGGTTAAATTAGAAACCCATTCATGCCCCACAACCCAAAACCAAACAAGTAATATCTTACCATTCTCTTGAAGCAAATCAGGCCTGTCTTTCATCTCCCTAATGTGAGCGCTGTCTTATACAGTCCAACAATTACAACAGTGCATTATCCAACTCACTGACTGTAATTCAATTAACTTTCTCCCCCTGGCTTCATCCACCCGGATAATACAAACATTAATTAACAACAGGATCCAATATCGGCTCTTCTGCGCTTCCACTAATTTTCAATTCCAACAAAAAGGTCATAGTAGCCACTTTCAACCCATGACAGTTGGTAGAAGTCTGTAGTAATGGATTACGCCTGTATACCACCAGGGCTCAGTGTGCGTGTGTGTGATGGAGACTGGTAGTGAAGTTAGCCTGTTGGTAGTCAGACGCTGAGGGCAAGAGAAGAGCTGGCCCAGCTGGGATGTGCATCCCTCAGAGGTGTCATTTCACTCATAAGATGAAATCCCTGTGGACGACAAACATTACAGGAGCGCGAAACAGTCTCATTTCTCTGCGGGCAGAGCAGACTCTTTGGTTGAGTAAAAGCTCAGTGAGTTAGGGTCTGAGTTCCTGCAAATTGTCTTTCAGTTTAAACAGCTGACACTGGAGCACAGGCAACAGTTACAAGGCATTAAGTGAGGTGGAGGCCAGTTTGAGGCTGACTGTGCTCTTGGAAGGTCCACTTCACTTCAGTTTATTATTATGATTCACAATTTCTTTCATTGTTATACCTTGTTGTTCTGTATTGGTTAATCTGCATTCGGACGCGGGGACTTGCATATGACAATAAATGCTTTGACGTTGACTTAAATCACTGTAACCAAATCCTGACTGCATCTTGCAAAGTTGTGGCTCTATCATCGAAACATAGTTTCTCCAAAGACAAAAACTCATGGGAAACTCAAAACCACCTCTGTGGAAGTTCCCGCTGCAGACAAACACACATGGACTGCAGGAGGTTTAACGATAACAGCCCTGTTGTCAAGGCTGGTAACAAACCTGACATGACAGAAAGACAAGTAAAAGAGACAGGAACACACATACAAACACTCACACACATTTTACTACAATCAAGAGCAGTGCACAAAACAGAACTGTGTGTGTGTGTGTGTGTGTGTGTGTGTGTGTGTGTGTGTGTGTGTGTGTGTTGTGGGGGGGGTCGTGGCATTCTCGTTCAGACCCATTCAACGTGCCAACCTAATTACCAGAGGAGAGGGAGTCAGTAATTAGCAGCGAGTCTCACCTCGTTAATCACAAAGGGCTCCTTCGCTCTATTTATATCTGATTAATGGCTTGCTTAAGCACAGCGAGATATTTATGCTTCTGTTAATTGTCTGCAGCTTGTATCCGCTCTGCTCGCTGCGCCTCACCCGCACCCCCAACGACACACACACACCCCCTCACTACACTTACCTCATCACATTACACACTACTTCTCACTGTTTTGGTCAAACAGTGGAGGCTGTTGAAAGAGGTGTAATACCTGATTGGTTTCTCAGTCACAATTAGCCTGGATCTCTTTCTGTCATTTCACTGCTTCAGGGGGAGAAAACCTTTTTTTCTTCTTCTCACCTTCGCTTTCTAGCTTTGGGATAGTTGGATGACATTGCCTGTTCAATCAGAATATGTCAAGAGAGCCTTAAAATCTCATCAAGGCTTGCCTTAAAATCATTGTCTTTTAATATTTTTTAATTTTAGTTTGTCCTTGTCCCAGTTTAAAACTGTTAAAACACATCTTTAAACACACAATATGAAGTTCAATAAATGGGAAACCATCAACAAAGCAGTGCATTGGTGTTTTGGATGAGTCTGACCACTGATCACTCACTGCTGTTCAACATCATTGTGAGGAATTATTACTGTTGTGATGCCTCTTCAGATAAGTGATGATATGTCTGCAAAGACTTAAAGACCAAACTCTCTGGAGGTATCTATGACATGAACTAACTATGACCAATTTTTAAGTAGGCTATAGTTTTTCTTTTTTGCAATTCAACTTCAACTGATTCAATCACTCATAATGTCTTTAATTCTTTTTGTATTGAGGCTATAGCATACTGTTTACATGAAATAGTTTTAAAACAATATGAGACCTACAGTATATTAAAGGAGATATCAAAGTTCCAGAGTCCCCCAGAAAAAAGTTCACACTTCTTTATCTCATATCGGATACACATACCTACCAAATTTCCCCAGTGCACATAAATAAACATGATTTAAAAAATCTAGTTTTGGTGATGCTTTCGAACAACAAGAAAGTATAAGATGTGTCACACCTGGTTTCCAACTGGAAGAATGAAGTCACTTTGGGAAACTGGATACGATCTCTTGTGCTAGAGTGATGGTGTCAAATCTGGCAGGAGAGATGAGTCTTTGGATGCTGGACCAACTCAAAACACTGATAAGTTGCGAGAAATCTCCTGCCAGCTTTTCACATTTTGGCTGAAATTAATTTCTTGAGCAAAACAGTGTTTTCTATGTTTGAATTAAAAAAACTGGCATTCATGACTGAAACCTCCCAAGAGATTTTATTCCCAAACACCGGAACTAAACCCAGGAACTAAAAGTTTCCACAGCCTGACTGAAGGCCTGGGAAGATTAACCCAAAAATGCCATTCTTAGTATTTCAGTTGATTGGTAAGTTATGAACTTTACTGTCTATGTTCTGGAAACCCTAGCATTGAAAAGATCTCAGGACAATGATGAAAATAAACACAAAGACAAACAAATTATAAGATTTAGAACAAATAAAGTAAAAATAAAAATATAACAAAGACAAAGGGCTAGATCTCTGTAAATTTCAAACAAGGTTATGCATTTAGTATTCTAATTGTATTTGACGACAATGATTTTCTTTACACATTTTTTGGTTCAAGCCCTCGCTATCTTTGGCATCGCCTTGAGTGTAAAAGCTTAAATAGAACACGCACTGTATAATCTAGGAGGTTTTGATCATTGCATGAGCTACAAAGCTGTGGACAACACCAGAGCACTTGACCATTCAAGTTTAGCCCCTGAGTAGGGCCTTTTATGGTGCTAAGAGGGCCTTTTATTGGCCAAGAATATAAGATAAGTCCCCTGGGAAAGTTCCTGAGTTGACATGACCTGTAAAAATTTTGGATTCAGTTATGTCATTATCAGTAAATCTTTAAGATGTGGTAGATTTACTCATGAATCTGAACTTTTGTGCACAAAGCCTGAAGTTTCCTCTCTTGATTGATGACTCTTGAAGTTTTATCATACTCTAGCACAAAACATGTGATATCTACTACACCCCCATCAGTGTATTCCTCCTCTGTAAATTTACACTGGTGGCATTTTACCATGACCCTTGCTCCATGCTCCACTTGTTCCAAATAAGCAAGTGTCATCCACCTGCCGCACATGTCTCTGAGCAGTGGGAGGAAACAGAAAAGGCATGGGGCTGGGATTTAAACCATGA